GATGAGGAAATCAAAAAGATCCTCAAGGAAAAAAACAATGTATTTATGTCTGGGCAAAATGACAAAGAATCAACATCAAAGAAAGACAAATTCAAATACCTGCAAGCCAAGGCTCAAATATGGCTTTGTGTTCTACAAGATAACTGGTGGGAAAAGAAAGCAGAAGAAATACAGTATTATGCCCATACAAACAACACCAAGTTGTTTTATTACTCTCTGAATTACTCCATTTATGGCCCATGAAAATCGGGACCAGCTCCACTAAAGAGTTCAGATGGAGCTGCCTTAATAAAGAACAAAAGAGGCATCTCTCTAAGATGGCTGTAGCACTTTACTGAGTTACTCAGCTATCCCTCTTCCATCAACCCACAGGCTAAAGGAACTAATCCAGCATCCCACACAGGAAGAAATTGCCAAATTAGCTACTGCTGAGAAAAGGCAAAAAGCTATCAGATAAATGATGGCAAGTAAATCACCAGGCAAACCAGCATACCAGCTGAAATCTGTAACTTGAGGCTACAAAACTGTCCGCTATCTATGCAAAATTATCAAAGATAGCTATCAATCTGAGAAAATTCCTCAGGATTTCAAAGATGCAATCATAGTTACGCATACAGAAATAAAGGCAACAAATCTGATTGTGGCCATTATGCAGGTATCTCTTTAGTGGTAAAATCCTTGCTCATACTTTGCTCAGTTGGCTTGTCAAAACAGTCTCAAAGAAGATTCTGCCAGAGGCCCACTCCCAGTATGGATTTAGCTCAGGTTGAAGCACCACAGACATTGGGTTTGTTTTTGAGACAGATTCAAACAAAACATGGAACTGTATTCTGTCATCACTGATCTAAAATATGCATTCAACATATAGGCAGAAATAGTCTCTAGAAAATTCAAGGAAACTATGATGGTGCCACCAATTCATTAACATCACATGTCAATTCCATGAAGACATGACTGGTCAAGTACTCTCACATGATGGCTGCTGTGAAATTACCCAGGGTACAATCTAGAGTGTTGAACAGCTGTGTCATCTCAATTCTCCAGCCCAGGGTGCCTTTTACACTGCTTTGCAGTGAGAAGAACCACTCCTGGTCTGCTCACACACAGCTGCCAGCATGTAAATTACTCCCAACTATACAGTACGAGTGCTATGGCCAACACCTCTGGAATTACACTTCGGAGCCACACGAGTAAATTCCCAGTCCCAGACTTTCCCTCAGAAATGTGTATCTTGTACTGCCCAGCCCCCTTCTGGACAACACAAGCTCATATAAAGCCTGTCATTTTATTAATAGAAAATGATATGCACAAATCTTGTTATCTCAAATAAAATTGTCCCAAACACTTCAATCCAAGCACACTGGTTTAGGTAAAACAATAAAACAACTTTATTTAGCTCCAGAAAGATAGATTTTAAGTGATTACAAGGAATGAGGCATAAAAGTCAGAATTGGTTACAAAGAAATAAAAGGTAAAATGCAACTAACAAACTAAGGGAATTCAAAGCAAAAGTCTCTCTCATCACATGCTTCAGCAGTCTTACTGGCCAGATTCCTTTCAGAATCTTACTGGCCAATCCCTTCCTTCCAAACCTGTTTCTTTGTTCTTCAGGAGTTGCAGCTGCTGTGGGTAGAGAGAAAGGGAGGAATATTTTGGGGCATCTTCTCCCCATTCTTATACCTTTTTCTCTTCTTCGAGAATCATCTCCAGCTGGGGTTCAGGAGACAGGAAGTCTATGGGGACAGGAACCTCCAGCTGTTTCTTTGCCAAGATGTAATTTTCTTGCTCACACCCTTTTTCCCGCCAAGACTGGCCACTTAACCAGGTGAGAGTCCATTTGATTTCATTGACACCTGGCTGAGGCATCATCTGGCCTTTTCTCTCTGAGGAAGTGGTTTGTGGCTGCTTCCCCAGATTTTGGAATATGTCTTAGTAACATCATACAGTAGACTCTTATAACTTTACATAAAATGTTGCCACACATATTTTGCCAGGACAATAAAGATCAGCAAATCATGAGTTTTCAAATGGCACCTCACAAGGCACACTTTGTACAAAATGTATCATAGTCTTGGAAAAAGGGTGAACTTAGGGGTGCAGACTGTCACAGCCACCCTGACCCATTCCCCATATCTAACAGAGTGAAACAAGGTTTCATGCTTTCACTGGTCCTCTTTGGTAGCCACTCTGAATTATGCAACTGACAGTTTTCAAGCCCTGAAGAAGAGCTCTGTGTAGCTTGAAAGCTTGTCTCTTTGATTAGTAGAAGTTGTCCAATAAAAGATATTACCTCGCCCAACTTGTCTCTCTGATCTTCAAAAGGCCATCTGCATAAGATACAGAACTGATGGAAAACTCGACAATCTCTGAAGGCTTACTGCAAAGACAAAAGTTCTCAAAGAACTCATATATGAAGCCCTGTAATTATGTTATACTCAGTCATAGTGAAAGTGACCTACAGCTTATCCTTGACAGGTTCTCAGAGACAGCTAAACAGTTTGGAGTCACGATCAACCTGGAAAAAAAAAAGTCTTCTTCCAACCAGCCTCTTCAACCACTACCACTGAGCCAAACATCACCATTGATGTTACAAAACTCAAAAAGTCACTCTAGCAAGACAAAATGTCAAACATTAACATCCTTGAAAGAGCATGAAAAAGGCGCATTGAGGCAATGATTATCAAAACTTAGCTTAGATGGAGCGGTCATGTTATCAAAATGGTTGATGATAGATTCCCCCCCAAAATTCCTCCTGAATTTCAGGAAGCGCAAGGATGGTCAATGTAAATGCTTCAAAAACAACCTTAATCAGCATCTCAACTCACATCTCAACGCAGCATAAATATTGATAATTTTGAAGCTATGGTCAAGGACAGACCTGAATGGAGAGCAACTATCAAGAAAGGTTGTAAACACGTTGGCAAAGACAGATGCGAAAAACTGACTGCAAAATTGGGCAAGCATCATTCCAAGTCTACACATTCCTATGCGACATCTATTCAGGACATTGCTCATCACAGATTGGACTATACAGCTACAAGAGAACACACGAGATGCCCTGGCATCATTGTTGGATATGACAGCCAGCCAACCCCCGTGGATACAAAGCCAGACCTCTGAAATGAAAGTTGTCCTTGCAGTCGGACCTAATTCAGACTCCAGCCTTTCAAAGTGAAGTGGTTCTTATATTTCCTCTGTTTCACTGGTTTCAAAACGCTGACTTTCTTGGGAGTACTGCCCCAAGCATATACTGAGCCAGTTGTAATGATTTATTAGCTAAGAAATAAAGCATGACATGTGAGTATGGATACCATGAGATAATCACAGCCCTAGGGTGAGATTACACTAGACACAACCAAATCCTCCCTAGGGGTGTGATTATCTCTTGACAATCCTACCTTCTAAAAATGTCTTCCCACTTCATGTGATTTATTTATTTAACAATTCGAGGTAGAGTAATCAGACAGACTATGGTTTTAGTCCACTGTACCTACATTCCCTATATTCTAAGCAAATAGGATATTCCCCCCTGTACTAAAGAAAGCCTTTAGACTTGGGTCTTAAATCTGAAGGTCCGTGAGTCTGGTCGTTCCCTCCTTTACCCAAACGAAACACCGATTGAAATCAATAGGAGCTGAGTAATGAGAGAAGGATCAGGGCCAGCGGCTATTCCTTTAAATACAAATACATAAAAATCCCTAAAGCTCTTGTTGCAGATTCGTTAAAAGGGATCTGAACTCTTTAAAAAGACCTAAGCCGTCATGTTCGGTGTCCCTTTCTGTTTCAAAATGAATCTATAACTCAACGCTGAATGTTCATACACACCTTGGGTGAGTAAAACTGCATTTATTTCAAGGGATTTTAGTGCGCAGATTTGGCTAAATACAAATTTTGATTTAGCAGACTCCTGCCATTGATGTTTGATTGTTTGTCTTTGTCTGAGCTTCCCCCGCACACATCACACATTTCAGTCTTCCGGCGTCTAGTGCACTCTTTTTAAAGACCTATCTCATAGCTGTAGCTGTGTTGACAGCTATTTCTCAGCTATTTTGGGTATATATCACATAACTACAATTCAAAAATAAGATAGAACCCTCCCGCTTCACTTCTGGACTGTGCTTCCTTATTGCCTTTCTCTTCCTTACTACCGCTATTTTGTCCAATGTCCCCTAGATCTTCTTTCCAAAGGAAAAAGAAAAGAAAAGATCACCCACTGATGTGTTCCGTCTGGGGAAATGGGGCGGTATAAAGGAAGCAATTGACTGAAAATTGTTCTGTTTGAGCGTCTGTTTTGGAGACCCTTGATGCATTCGGATCAGAATGGAAAGATGGGTCTCCAAAAGCAGCTCCTTTTTAAGTATCGTAACCAGATTTTATCCTAAGTTCCAGCTAGAGGAGGCTGATGTTTGAGATTTCCTGGCTACTGCATGGACACCGACACATTTGTTCTGATTTCAGTATCGTAGCCAGGATGGGTTCTGAGTGTCCGTCTATGCTTCTGATAAATATACATCTGAGCATTTATAAGTGCCTGATGTTATAGGCTTATTGTGACCACAGTTGTGACGGAACCCTTCACAAATGTGTCCAGAGAGAGAAATGAAAAGCTTCGCTTTGTCTTACTTTAATAACTACGGTGTTTGTGATTATTTTTGTGAACGGCTTTCCAGCTCATGTTCCCTAGTAAATAGCATCCTCACGCCCTCTCGCCAATGTCTTATGTTTTATATGAATGTGAATCTATCTACAGACTCATTAAGAGAGTGGTAACTTTTTTCAAACTATCGAATACATTGAACAATAATAAGTAATAAAGACGTTTTCCATTTTAGACCTGGCAAGTGCGTTTCCCCATTCAACCACAAGAGGGCCCCTTGGACCTCTCTTCTCTTCCGTAATTGATGGAGGCAGCCTCGAAAGATAATTAGTTTTATGTATATAATATTTGATCATGAAAATATTCTTTGCCTTATCCTAGCAAAGGGAACCTGTAATATATGTTAAAATAGTTAATTTTTATTATCTGTTCGAATTGTTTTACTCATCCTACCCCCCAAATTATTGTAGCATCAACTGAAAATGTAGGCAATGCAATGTTAAATCTAATTTTTCTGTGCAAAACCTAATTAGCCATTTTAAAAAAGGTTAACGCCAGCGCCTCAGACGGTTTTTGTTTAATAATCCTATTACTGATGGCTCATCATGTATAAAATGGTGCAGGAGGATGCAAAATTTCCACTTGTTTATAAGTGTATCTCGGAGAAATGTATAAAATAATCTACGGCAGAGGAGGCAGGTCAGTGCGGAATGGAAAGCAAGCACCTAAAACGTAAGTAGGCACCTTTCCTTCGGCTCTTACTGTACAGGGAGAATATGAATGTTGTATCTGGCTACAGATTTGTGCCCAAATACCAGCAATATTTCCCCCCGTATTGGTATTCTAGAGGAACTCTTGCTTGATTTTTTTCCCTCCCCTGCAGCGGTAGCCTCTTCCCCTTGGAGAAGAGATCCCTTGGAGGACTCCTGGTACTCCTGGTACTTTTGGGGAGATGGTGCCTGGACTGAAGAGCCCCCTACCCCCCAAGAAAAGTGGTTATTTCATTCCGGCCCCTGCAATGTCCTGACAAAAGAAACAGAACAGGGGGGATTTAGCTTTTCGATCCCTTCGACCCTTGCCCAGCTCCTCGGGTATCCAGCAAAGAAATCTCAGCCAGGCAGCAGGCACCTGGCTCTATTTCTTCCAAGCTCCAAATATCACTCCTCCATTAAACCCCGAAATACTGGGCGCTGCGGGGGGAGGGAGGGAGGGAAATAATTTTAAATCCTCAATCCAGCCTTGTCTATTTCTCTTTATATTTAATTATCCGTTAATATCGTGAGTCATAAAAGTTAGGGTGTAAAAGAGTGTAGGAAAGTGAGTGAAAGAAAAGGGAAATCGTCATGGCTTTGCTTTTGCAGCTTTTAATGGGCAACCGACTAATTAAAAATTGCAGCTTTACTTGATATGTACACTGTGTGGACTAGCCCTCTCTGTGAGTTAGTAAATGGACCTTCAATGGCAAGGTGCTTTTCCTACTCCATAGACTTGTAATCGTTTACTTAAAACTCTGGTCAAAAGCCCCCACGAATGACAGTAGACAAAACACTAGGAAGATGTCTTGTTTGGCTGAAATACTTGTCAGGGTAAGAAACTGAAGCGCGAGTCCGGGAAAGAGGGGAACGTTCATGAACAATAAATATTTTTGAACTGTGAAAGGTGTTATTTTTAGTAACCGGGGCTCGGTGCGATCTATGCTTTGCTTACGGGAGCTCCAGAATAAAAAAGGGTGGTGGGCAACTAAAACGTCTCTTTATGCTTTGGGTAAGAATCTAAAGAGACGGCGGACTCTTTAGTCGTAGCTTCCTCTGGCAGGTCATTTGGAAGGCACTTTTGTTTATTCAGCGGGGGGGGGGAATATTGCTGAAAATAACGCCCCCGACAATGGTCTGTAGCGGAAAAGAAAACTCCGTTCTCTAGCTCTCGGCGCTGGTCAGAATCTCCGGCGCGCCAATAGTTCTCAACCGATCGAGCGGTTTCTCAATGAACATGCATTGTCTCCAGTATTCGACGGCGCTTATTGAGATTGAAGTCATGACTGGATGCTGGGGGTGGGGGGGGGGGTAAGTCAAAGTTGCCCCAGTCTCGGAAACACCTCCAGCTCCCCAGCTATCCAGCACCAAGCACTGCCAAAGGAGCTCCTTGACTTGTGCACAGAGATCGCAGCTGACAATCTTTGTTTTAAACCCCTGCTGATGTTGTTGCGCCAAATCCTCCCACATCAGACAAAATATCTGCATTTTCACCCAAACGAGAGCAATTACTAAGGAAACGGGCCCCTCTCGCATCGCCTTTTCCTTCTGGTCCATTTGAAAACGGATCCATCAGCGGGTACCAGGCGTTTAAGGGAGAATTTTTTAAAGGGCATGTGGGACGGAAACAAAAGGCTGCCATTCACAAGAGAAGTCAAAGGCACTAAATAGGGACATCAAAAGGCTCCCAAAATAGGAATTCGGATCCAATCGAAAAATAAAAGAACCTGATTTCTTTTCTTATCTGAAACACGCGGATGAAAAGCCCTAAAGCAAACAGCCAAAGAAAGCGATTTTTTTTTCAAACAGTAAGAAAAGGGAAGAAGGAAAAATAAAGAAACAATCTTATGAATGCATTTCCTTGGACTTTAAATGAGATGAATGAAAACATAATATCACCAGCTTCCACAAGACAAACCTCATTAGACTAATGTCTTTCATTCCCCTCAGTTTTGTGCCTTACCCTATTCCCGGGATAGAGCGGCGATTATTAGGTATACAACTAAAGTAATATGGGACAAACACCCTCTCTCTAGGTAAATCCAACCATCGATTTAGCTATGTAGCTCTAATCTCTGGCTATAGATATAGGTTATATTTCAGGACTTGGGTTTTAAAATGGATCACTATGAAATACTCTGAGTCATACGTTTCAAGTATTTCATTGTGGATCCATTAAAAAACCCCAAGTCCTGAAATACTACCTATATCTATATATTTGCAGCATTTCATATTGACTCATTTTTTAAAATAAATAAATTCTGGAGTTGTAAAGAGTCTATACAACAAATGAGCCTCCGTTACAGCAGCTAGAATTTCTGTCTACACCAGGTGTGCGTGTGTAGTTATAGAGATGGAAGGAAGATACATCTAATTCGATCGTAACCGTAAAACTGATTTAAAATATTATTTAAAACGAAGAGAGTGCACACGCTGCTCCTAGCCATGCGTTCCCCTTTTGCACAGGGGTAACGCATATCATTCCGTGTCCCCCCGCACCCCCCAAAGAACAAAACATTCCTTACGAAGCAAAGATTTTCTCGGGCGATTTTGTTCCTTGAATTGGATATTTTTAGAAGTCTCTTTGTGCAGCCTTTGAAATGATACACAACAGACACATTCCCAGCTCATAGCCAGGCGCCTTCCTTCTGCAGAGTGGGAATTATTCTGGGCTCAAAGTGTGACACACATTCGAAGGCTAATTGGCATGGAATGATACGGATTCAGCATTGCTACTCAAACCCAGTGACTTTCCTGCTTTTGAAGCCAGAGTAAGATAATAGATTAAAGATCAAAGAATGGCTAGGGGGGTTACTCTATGCCGAGCCTACAATCCCGATCCTGCTCCTACTCGCAATGATTTAAATGGGCGCAGGATCTCCCTGTTTAAGGCTTCTCTTCCCTAGGGGGCTGAAGTCCCTAGCGATCGGGGAAAGTTTGACACAGCGGCAGCCTTTGGTTTGGCTCGTCCCCCTCCCCCGTCCTTTCCATCGCCTCCTGCCCGGATAAAGCCCTTCTTGACAAGGCTCCAGGGCAGAGACTTCCCTTTGGTCTCAGTGTGTGTTCTGTAAAGTTGTGACAGATTATTTGTAAAGGGAGGGGTTTCACAGTTTGATGAAGATATAACACACTCTGGACCATCCATCCTCCAGGCCCATTCATCAGGGGCAAAGAGAGAGAGAGAGAGAAACTTTCCCCCTCTTCCCTTCTCCAAAGCAATTCATCACTGGAGTTGAATTGGGAGTTTTGTCTTCAGCTAAATTCTCCCTCCCTGGACCTTTGCTAGGAGCCTCGCGGCAGCACCTCTAGGTTTATGTCACATTCCCATCTCTGGGCTCCCCGAGCAGTAGGACAAAGGATCTGAAGGAGAGAGCCACAAACGAGAAGAAAGGGGTCGAACCTGGTGTTTCCATCACTACACAATACCGCTTTCTTTAGTAAGGTGCTTTGGTCCGTTCCACCCAGTGCAGTCACACAGAGAGACTGGGGACTCGCGGCTGGGCCGGAGCATGCCCCAAACTCCTGCCCTGATCCATTCGACCAGGGAACTTTCAGTCACACTCACTGAGCAAAGAAGGACTTGGAGACGAGGGAGTGGGGGAGAAGTTTCTGCAGAGCTCCGTGAAGCTGGTTTCTTCCTGATAACCGCTGGGAGGAATTAGAAAGGTGCCTGTCCTCCAAGTTAAAGTATTGTACAATTGTGTCTTGACATGACGGGAGGCAGTATGTTTCTCTGGCACATAAACTACGCCATATAAACATTTGTCTCGCCTTTATAAGGGAAGAGCAGAGATTCCTAGAGACTACTTAGGTAAGGGTGGGTAGGATAGATAGATAGATAGATAGATAGATAGATAGATAGATAGATAGATAGATAGATAGATAGATAGATAGATAGATAGATAGATAGATCGTTTTACTTCGACCTAAACTTCCAGTACAGAATAACTGAAAAGAATTGATGAGGAGCTCCGAGGGCAGTCTTTTGTTTGGGAAGGAGTGATACTCATTGTTTGTCATCGCAGAGAAAGAGAGGAAATTAATTGCAACCAATTAATAATTAATCCAATTTAAACAGCTTTATTATCTCCCCAGAACGAGGGGGAATTTGTCAGATAACCCCCCGAAGACCAAATGTCAAGTTTAACCAAATAGTTATTGCTTTATCAAACAGCGTCTGCAAATAAATTAATCAAAAGCAAATATGTCCTTTGTGCGGCTCATTTGCCGGTAATGGATGGAGATGAAGATTTGCCGATATTATTGTCTGTCATTCAGTCTAACAAAGTGAACATTTATTGCATATATATTAAAAATTATCCCTTAATCGAGCAGGGCTGGGGTTGAAGTTATTGGAGTCTCGACAGAGGTGAGGTCCCTTTGGATAGAAGCCCCTTCTTCTCCTTTCCCTGCGAGTCCCTTCAGAACGTTGTTTCAAAATTGCTTTAATCCAAAGCTAAATTGAGCTGTTTTACTAACTGTCCACAACACCCTAAACAGTCTGAGGAGCTAATGGACGGGATGTTAGAAAAATAGTGGACGTAAGGCACATCAGAGGCGATACATTAGCCCAGGAGTGATGGCCCGGGACCTAGCAATGGGAAACAACTCCTCTTTGTCTCCCTCTTGGTTACATCATTTTCTAATTAGGCATAAAATTGTCTTCATACACTGGTATCGCTGGCTTCATAAACATAACCATTATGGTTCATAAGGATCCCATTGTGGGGAGCCCTTCTCAAAATAGAAAAGGATTTGGAGAGGCCCGGAGAAAAAAACATCTCCTTTGTTTTCTCTTTTGAGAAGATGGATGGGCGATGTCACGCAGCTGATTACTTTGGACTATTAAATTGTCAGAAAGGAAGAATTTCCCTAATAATAAGGGTTTATGGGGAATTATAGAGTTGGGTTCAGGGGGAGACAGATCGGAGACTAACAAGGAAAAACCGAAAAGTGGGGGGGGGGGGAGAGATAAACTTTAAAAGTAAAACGGATGGGGAGGGGACAGTGCCTGTGTAAATCATTATTTAGTAAAATAAAAGGAATTAATCTAGGAAAACGGACATAATTTTAGTGCTAGAGCTTCCTCTGGTAAAATGGTTTTTCAGTGAGGATTTCTCTCCCCCCCCCCTCTTTTTGGGGAGGTTCTGTGGGGAGGGAGGCTGAAACACTCGCACGTCAAACGCTTTTTTAAAACAGCAAATTCTCCCATTTGCCCCTGTACAAGGGCCAACTGTTTCTCCAAATTGTGCCGCTGCCCCAAAGCAAAAGCAGACTGGGCAGCGTTACCCCGGCCATGAATGGCAGGGCCGAGCAAAGCCAGCCTTAGCTCCGGGCCGTAAAGCCCAATTCAGGCCGCGCCCTGGTGGGAGCACGGCGCTAACTGGATGGAGATGGATGGAGCTGCTGCGAGCCCCCGACGCGGTGTCAGACCTGGGACAATTACTGTCTCCAAGCGGATGGACAGACTGACCTCGGCGCACTGGCCCACTGGCGGCCCTGATGAGCTTATCTGCAATTTGCTGGATTTAGTTTACAATAACCCGACTTGACATAAATAACTCCCATGCTGTGGCTACGCCTGCCTGACCTCCTGAACTAGTGCGAAAACACTGCTGTATTGAGCCAGGGGACAGGTTTTTAAGCTATTAAAATATAAACAAATTTCGAGCTACTTCCCAAGCCAGTTCTGCCCAAAGATTCTGGTACAGGCTCTTTATTTCATCCGTGCCCAAGCGGACGGGGAGCTTCGATTTCCCCGGGTTAATTTTTTAACCACTACCACTTTCCCAATTCTGTCCTCCTCCTCGCTTCCCCTTCACAAGACATGAACCCACCGGCTACTCTGCGAAAGGCCAAAGCACGGGCTGAATATTTAAAATGTGAGCTTTGATTTAAAGCAGCCCAACGCCTACGCTTTTAAACCGGATTGCGGAATAAGGGCCTCAGAGCAGATGGGATAAGCAGACTGACATGAGTTTATAGACGATTTCACTCCTGCACACTCACATCTCCAAATACAACAAACCGGGCGCTCAGACACTACGCTGCTGAAGGCCACATAAGTATTCTGAGATCACCATAGGATTCGGACTGAAGACAGCTTCAACTCACCCCCTGGGGTTCAGTTGCACATAGGGGATATAGCGACTGGTCCAAAGCCCGCCGAAGCCAAGAGGCGATTTTCTCATTCACTCCAGTGGGCTTTGAATCAAGCCCATCGCCCCGTGTGAGACCATTTCTACAGTCCCTACTCAAGCTATTGTCCTAGTGAATGACAAACCTGCAGTCTCCCCTGGAATGGCCCGGAAGGTATTTGTGAATAAGGCCCTAAAGATATGGCCCAGACGGAAGAAGGGCTGCAGGGTGCGGCCCCTCTTGAGAGCCCTACGTCGGGAAAAGCAGATGGACAACTTCACCACTTCCTCAACCTCACTGGAGTATTTGTTCGATCTGAAGAGTCCCTGTACGAGGAGGATTTGAGATCATTGTAGATCAGATGCGGCTCTGTACAATTATATATGTGTAAGCAGATACTGAAGTTTCTCAAATCTCATTTTATTAACTCGATGCAATATATAACAGCAATGGAAGAAAACCTGCAGGCCTGACAATGGAGAAGCAAGCAGGACCTTCACACTACATTGTAAAAAGCACGTCTCTCGTGGACTCCTTTGTTCGTGTCCTTTCCGAAAGCATGGGGTTTGGCCCGAGCGAGTTTGGAGACCTTAACCCAATGTCTCGCAACACATCTGAATGCTGTTATCTGAGTGACAACAGTATGGTGCACTGGCTTCAACAGCACAACCCTTTACTGCACGTGCTCAGTAGTCAAATGTGAAATGAAATAACTGTCCACAGGAAAAAGGCAAACAAATAGTTTATCCACACGATAGACCAACTACTTACAGCATTTCATTTTAAAGTGAATGACTGAAATGCTGAAATACACACAAACATCTACCTGCATCTCTGTAGATACTATTTATGTTTTAAATGTGTAAATGAACAAATAACATGCCTAAAACACACCAGAAGAAGCCCTTGAAAACAGAATTGTAATGGGGAACCAGTGTGTCACTATTGTGAGGTGTTGCGACGCCAACTAAAGAAACATTGCGTTTTTCATTCAGTAAGAAAAAGGGCCTATTTTATTGTACTAAGTTTCCACTTTGATCTATTGCCTCTTAGCTACAACTGCTGATCACATGATCTGGCTATTTTGGCCCTATTAAAAATGTAGGGCTAAAATAGCCCTACTAAAATACGGGCATGGAGTTCAGGCTTCTCACACAACGTTTGTTGAAACAAGATCTTTGTTTCGGTCCTTTGGAAAGCTCGGCGCCTAACTATAGGAAGGGAAGATGGGGAGGGGCATCAAGAGTGAAGGGTGGTGAAAAAAAAAAGCTTCCCCTGAAAAGTCCCCTCAGAGTCCTTGTAAAGCGGCTCTGGTGTTATCCATTTAACTTGGCATATGGAAATCTTTCCGCGGATCTACAATTAAAGGAGCTCCCCTTTATCCTTTTATTCTCCTGTTAACTTTTGTGTTAAATGTTAACAACCTGGCCCGAGCTATTATGGCGCTATTACCAAGTGAATGTTGACTCCAACCCGGACTTCTTTTCGGTCTATTCTGAGGCTGCCCTCCCACGCAGATTTATGTATTTTTGATATTAAATTCTTTCTCTCATTAAGGCTGCTCTCTTGTTGACTTTTATTGACCCTCGGCCCCTGTCCCCATACTTTTCCATATTTAATACTGAAACATTTTTTCCAGTGCCCTCCCCTCTTTGTTACCTCCCGGTTGACTGCTGTCCCTAATGGCATGTGCTGTTTGCTCTGTTGTTGAACTTGGTAGGGTCACATAGTCTTGTGCTGTGATATTCTCTGCATTTCCAACCTTGCTATTCTGACGAGGTGCCTTGTATAACAAGCCTTTTTCCCCCTAGCTACCAACTTCCTAATTACTTAAACAAACACCTTCCCTAATGATCCCCTAGGCTTCCTAATCCCTTTCGGGTTTTGTTTAGCTGAACTCCTAATGCTCTGCCTGTCCTACTGGCAGCTTGGCCTTTCTGACCTGAGACATCGCAGCTCTTCTCCTTGGAGCGGGTTGCCTTGTCCAGCTCCTCCTGGGCCAAAGGCCAGGCTCATGGGAGCATTGCATGCCACCAGCTGCTTGAGGTGACACTGAGTTACAAAGGAGAACCGCAAAGGAAACTTCAGCTCACACAGGCAAATGAATGTGTTCATTTATCTCTCCGAATTCAACACTTTGCTTCATGCCTCGGCCATACAGCTTGGCGGATGGAGAGAATATGTAAAGGAATAAATGTCCTTCCCAAGAAAGATTGGCTCACTTCTTGTGGCCGGTCTGTTCAGTATCATTATGTGACCAATTTCCAGAATTGAAGTTGCCTGGTGTTTTGATTCTTCCCTGCCTGTGCATTTGTGCCCTGGAGGTCCCTTCAAAATGGATACTAATTGTTGGGGCTGCACACTGCTGGCTGCTAAAATGCCCCAGGGCTCCAAGGACCTGCTCCTCAATGGCTTAATTGACAAGGACTTGTCTGTATTTAGGAGCAGCTGGTCCAAAGCATTGGCACATCAGTGCAATCTTAACACAGCATCCCTAGCCTGGAGGAGTATGAGGGTAAACGTGGTTAAAATGAAGGAAGATTTATAGTCGGTTCCCTTGGGTAATAGGACAGAAGACAGCTACCAAGATTTTGCCCTAGTAGGGGTTTCATTCATCAGCTTCCCAGCCTTGGTAACATGTCTAGGAGCCACGTTCCAGCCATTATTAATAATAGGAGGTGGCCATTTAGAACAATTAGGCAGGTGACAATATTCCACAACAATGCAGAGCCCTAAACAAGACAGGGGAACCACAGACGAACAAATCTGTCACGGGCTAACACTGTAGCTGCTTCCCTTTGGTATTAGTGTGATCCAAGAGGCACTGAGCTCTCATTTATATAGAAAGTTTGAAGCCTGGAGTTAAATGTATTACCAACTAAATTATAACAGGCATCATTTTACAATGCTCCGATGAGAAAGGGGTATTTTGTGGAGACTGCGCTTCAGCCTGTTTAGGGTGCCGCTTTCTATAAGGAACTGTCTGCATTAAAACGTAGATCATTAAATTTAAGCCATGTTTTAGTTTTAAAACGGAACTGCGATTAGGAGTCCGACGTATTTCATTTCAGAGATATACAGCCACAGATATTTTCATTTGCTCCTATAAACCCCTTTAACTTGCACAATTCTTCTTCATCCGATCTAAATATTGTATTTCTAAACGCGACCTGCTATTTTGCCATAGAGGGTTATTCAGTTTTTTACAAAGGAGGTGTATTGCATGGTTTAAAATTAAGGTGGTGGTTGTTACTGCAATGTGTGGGAAATACTTTTATGTTCACAGAGTTAACCGTGTGAATAGGGATAATAGGTTTGGGATCTTCATTGAAATTTGAAGTTTTTAAACAGAAATTCCCTAACTTTTGCTCGTTTTCTCAACTTTTTTTGCAGGAACAATGCCAACATTGAAGCCCTCGGTTGGAGTCTGCACAGTTGGAGATCTTTGGTGCCATTTTAGACATCTTTGGATTTCATCAATCAAACTGACTGCAATTTTCCATAAAAACCCTGAATTTGGGTCAGAAAGTGGGCAAAGCAGATAAAGATCATTCGAGCTGTCTTATGAGATGATAAATAGATATCCTTTCAGCCCAACAATGCAAGAAGTGCAGTTTTGTAATTCACTTCCTTGGTTTTGAATGCAGTGAGTCGAAACAATTTATCCATGTTTTCCCATGGTTTAGAAGATGTCTTTACATACTTGTCAATAGTAACTTGACCTTTTCCCCCACTGAGTTACCAAGTGGTATGTGTTTGTTTGCTTGTTTTCCCCAAAGTACAGAAAAGGTTTGTTGTTGTTGTTTTTTAGAGACAAAATCAATAGATTATTTCTTCCTATCCTAAGACTAAGCAGACGGTAGATAGCCCATATCAAGCTTAACTGTGTTCTGTTGATGATTTGCCCATGTGCTACTTTCGATACACGTGGTCCAAGCTGGGTTTCATACAAACCTGTTGGACTTGCTCAGAGTGTATTCTTGAACTTGACGAAGGGCCTTTTGAATAAGCCGAATGAAGAAACGCCCTAAAAGAAATCAAATCAGATAAAGAAGCCTCAGCGAGTCTTACCAGTCTGCCTCAGACCCTCGGTGGGGGGGAAGCTGCTTGAAATCTTGACTGAAAGCGATCTGTGAGTGGATAAAAACACCCCAGTTTCCGTTCCTTTTTCTCACAGTAAAACAAACTATTTTAATCCTAGTTGAGATGCTGCCTGCCTCATGGCTCATGCTCTGTTTAGCCCGTATTCTCTTTCTACTCTTGACTCTGCTGCCCAAAACTACTGTTTGGTTTTAACACGTCTTCGGTCATTGTATTTCGCCAGATTCCTGGCCTGAACTTTTCTGGAGGGAAACATCTTGCATAGGAATGTAGTATGACTGGGACAGTCCAATTTGCCGTTTAGTAAACACAGGTGTGCATTGTGTACAGACGTGCCATTATATAGTTATGTGATGTATCTGACTATGCCTAAACACCTTTAATAATTATAGTAATAAAATAGCCCTCGCACAGAGCCATGGATCTTAAGGTGTATTTTGAAGGAAGTTAAGTATAATTAATCCCATTCTACAGAAGGAGAAAGCGAGGAATGGGATGGTTAAGTAACGCTTCCAAGGTTAGAAAGGAAGTCAGTGGCAGAGAAGGGAATGGAATCCACTTCTCTTGACTCCCAGTCCCAGGTCCTATATAGTGGAGCAAGCTATGTAACCTCCGTTGATCAAATACATTCAGCTAAGCAGTGGATTCTTTTGAGCATTCCAGAGAAGAGCAACAGGAAGGAGTTAAGGTCTAGAAAACATGATCTATGAGGCAAGATTGAAAAAAAAAGGGGGGGGGGAATTAGTCTGGAGAAGAGAAGACTGAGAGGGGACATGATAACATATTTCAAGTACATAAAAGGTTGTTACAAGGAGGAGGGAGGTAAATTGTTCTCAACCTCTGAGGATAGGACAAGAAGCAATTGCAGCAAGGACAGTTTAGGTTGGACATTAGGAAAAACTTCCTAACTGTCAAGGTGGTTAAGCACTGGAATAAATTGCCTTAGGGAGGTTGTGGAATTTCCCTCACTGGGGATTTTTAAGAGCAGGTTAGACAAACACCTGTCAGGAATGGTCTCTACTTAGTCCTGCCATGAGTGCAGGGGACTGGACTAGATGACCTCTGGAGGTCCCTTCCAATCCTATGATTCCATCCACCTAGCCTCTGTACTTAGCTAGTTATATAGTAGTTATATATACACACTTTCCCCCTACAACTAAGAAGCAAAGGGAATACTCCCTGCTGGGGGAGGGGAGGACGTAATGAGTCTTTTTCATCTTTAATTCCTATAACTCTATGAGTTTCTGTTAACTGCTCTTGTGCACTAAAAGCTATAAGAAACAAAGCCCCATAAACATAAATAAAGTGCAATCTAATTTAGATATAGCATAAAGTGAACCTATTCCAGCAGCCAAGACTCCTATTTAAGTCAATGAGAGTTTTGTAGGAGCAAGGACTGAAGGATTATTCCAATATGAGCTGGAAAAAACTTACGTCCTTTCATTGGTTGGGAACGATGCAGGATAGTGACTTCTCTTACCCACTGGTTAATTATTATGAGGGTAGATCTCTGAAAATCACTTGTTTCTTCCACCAGCTCTGTCATCTACAATATACATAAGAGAGAGAGAGAGAGAGTTTTTTCCTCAAGCTTTTTCTCGCTAGCCTTGTACACCATAACACGAGTAAGTGCTAAACACTCAGTTAGTTAATGGATAATGCAGCCTCTGACCTGCAACGTACAGCTTCCTCTCACGCATCTGGTGAAAGCTGCTTACTATTTTGTTACATTTTGTAACATGAGCTGAGGCAGGGTTCCTATTAAGACAACCCTGAAAAAATTTCTCCAGAAATGCCAGTGTTAATGCTAGCCTGGGTCCCCACACCCTGGGCCTTTCACTTCTTTTCAAACTCTACTCCCCAAATCACCCAGACTTTTGTTAAAAATTCATAGATTCTCTGCTATTTCACTATCTCGATAAATCCAAGACAATAGGGTGGTTGTTATGGGCCCCCTTTCAGTACTAGGAAAATAATGTTTTGTTTGCCGGGGATATATTTTAAAGGTACTGGTGTATGGAATTTAAAATGAAACGCTCCATTCCACTAACCAGTGCTTGGCGTCTGCCAAGAGACTAAGCAGGGTTTTCACACACTAGGGTTTCATGGACATCACGTCTTCATACGCTCACCCCCCGCCCCTTACCTCTTACATTGAATAATAAGCCAATCCTTGTGTGGCCAGGTATCTCTACTTATTCTCATCTCTAAGGAGAATCTTTTTGGAAAGTTTGGTAAAATTCCATCTGACCATGACAAAAATGATACCCCACCCCACCCCACACACGAATGTTGTAGTGGTTAGAATAAACCCAGCTGCCTTCATTATTTCCCCCAGCGGGCACATACATGTACATAGACCGTCACATGGGCGTGTGTATCTGGGACACCACACAATACTCTGTTACCCAGCCTGTCCAGCAGTGCCAAGCTCCCTCTGATTTCAGGGGGAGCTTTTATTTGGCTCTTACCAGAAATCGCAGCCTGGATTTGTAAAGCGGCACATGATGTTCAAACAGATAGCTTTCCTGTTCCTACATCCCTGGCAATTCGAAACATGTGGTAATACAATATTTTAATATCCAGTTGCAAAAAAAATGCAGATAAAATATTTCTTAACTTGTGTTTGTGTGGGGGGGAATATGATTTTTGTCATGGTCAGATGGAATTTTACCAAACTTTCCAAAAAGATTCTCCTTAGAGATGAGAATAACCGGCTAGATCATTCAGGTGCACACTCTTTGCCTCAAAGTAAATGGGAGTTTTGCTGTTGACTTTCAAGTGAGCAAGATCAGGCCTCTCGTTGGCCCTGCTGGATGTGTTACCTCTCACTGTTCGCTTTCTTTCCCTTAAACACGCAAGTAAAATCCCAGCCATAATTTGGGGGGGAGGGGAGAAGAAGGGTAGTACACATTGATAAAAATATCAGCTGAGCTCCCCTGCCTCTCTGAGCAGGAAAGCCGTGTTAGAGATTTGCATGGACCTGAATAAATCCAAATATCTCAGTGTTGATATTTGTGTTTCCTGGTCTCTCTCTCTCTCTCTCTCTCTCTCTCTCTCTCTCCACACACACACACACACACACACACATTTGGCCTCAGAGAGAGCTCTCAGAGGCATTAGAAAGGCCAGATACAGTCACAGAAATAAATGCTTGAACACAAGCATTACTACCCCCGAATTACTTACTCTTTGCAAGTGTGAATGCTCTAACAAAATATTTCACCACTAAGCCCCTTTAATGTAGAAGGGAAGAGGTAACGGTGAAGCTGCTGGATTTATGGGTCACCAATGTGACATGTAAAAATTAATACTCCCCTCCTTTACAACCCCCCAAATCACCTGAGTGAAAGGAGACCGCCCTGACTGCTTTTCAAAGACATGGATGAACTCTGAGGGAGGTGCATATAGCTGTCATTTCATTCATATATCCGACATAGTCCGACCAAAAATGGGGAAGAGAATATAATTTTCGAATATTATTATTTGGTGCCATTGCAAAAGCATTGCCAGCTTGCATTTATAAATCGGGAGAGCGGGGGACACGAGAAACAAATTGCAGCTTCTGGAAAAGGTCTCGCGTGGAGATATTTTGTTCTAGGTAGTTTGCAATGGTAACTTGTTTTCTATGGTGTCCTCTAGTTATGATCAAACTACAAACGCCTTCATGTAAACAGATACATAGAACGCTCCTTTGACTCTCTACCCGGAGTCATTTTGTAGCGTTTAATTATCTGGTGATTAACACAGAGTGTGAATTCCTGAGGCAGAGATTGTGTCCTATGTGTTTGTTCAGCGTCTCGTACAAAGGCTCCTGTCTCGGGCCTTTGGACATCAGTGTAATTTAAACACATAATTGCAGCATCAGATTCTAATCTCCAGCCGAGTTGCTGATTTCCCATTCACTCAGAATAACTGGTATATGCAAGAAAAAGCAGAGAAAATCAAAGGCTAGAATTTGGTCCGTTGCGTGAAAGACCCCCCCAGTACATCTAGACAAACCCAGGAACTTGATTCTGCCTCGGGATATGTGCGTAGCTCCCACAGAAGTCAATGGGAGCTGAGCGCATGCATCCAAGGGGAGAGTCTCGCTCTGGATGTGTCTCAGAGTCAACGTGTCAAATCCAATTTTCATCTTTAGCTTTGAATTGATCGGAGTGTTTGGATTGGCGCATTGTCGCGCTTTGTTTTCCTTGGGCTCTTTCCATCTGTTTGACAAACAAATATTTGAGGACATTTTTTAAAAGCAAAAATCGTTCCCCCGGTTGCAAAAACACCTAGTTAGGGGTTTAAAAATCCATACATTTTACAAGGTCTATTTTTTCATCCTGTGCTACGCGCAAATAATTCCCTGCCAACATTAATGGGCGTCAGGAGAATCTCTCTCTAGAGGTTTAGGGAGAAAATCTGCCCGACCGCTGGTCTTTCAAACGCAGAAATAGGAGCGGCTAAATGTACCCCTGTTATCTCAGCGTGCACGCCATGAGCGGCATTGCTCTGCTCCTGTGGATCCGTCATACTGCCCTGTGAGGGATTCCTAGTCCTAACCAGTCACACCGGCGTGCGCGGGCTAGAGTCACGCGCTCCCCTCGCCGGCGGGCGGTGAAAGGACCCCAAGGGCCGGCTCCGTGGCAGCCGGGCCCGCGTTCAGCCAGCAGCGAGCTGGGGGTCTCCGGCTGGCCGCGGGGACACGCCCCCCCTCCAGGGCCGGGGAAAGGCGGCCTGCGGCCCAGCCTTCGCTCTGCGCCTGCTGGAGGCTCTGGCCCGGGGCCCTGGCCAGATCCCCGCCCCGGGCAGAGGGCTGGAACCGGCCTGCCGGAGCGCCGCGGCGGCTGGAGGACAAGCTCCCTACTGCCTGTGCATGTTAATCAGGCGCCGGGGAAGGGCGCGGAGACAAGGGGCGGCGGCGGGAGACGCGCCCTGGCCGGGGCACTCGGTGCCACTCACGCCGGCGGGGGGCTCGCCGCTCTCAGCAGCCTCGCTCCCCGGTCTCTCAAAGCCTCTTTCAGCCGCGCTGCGGGCTCCTCACCGGAGGAGGCTGGCGCTACATAAAAGCGCATTATGACAATTATCATATCAGGCGGCGCAGAGCATGTCCGCGGAGGCAGCCCGGCAGCTTTCAGGCATTGAGCCACGTTCAGCTGGGCCGGGCTGTAAAGAGCCATTTGAATTCGGAGCCTGAATGGAGCAGCCGCAAGAACAACGAGGAGAGCAACAGAGCTCCCTTTATCCCGCCCGCCCCGGCCCCTGCTTGCTCATTCCCTGGCTGCTGCACCTTTCTCGCTCATGGGCAAATGCAGCGAGCGCTGCTGGGGGGGGGGGAGGGGTGGGCAGCGCGTGAGCGCCAAAGGCCCGTGTCGCTCCCACCCTCACTCCCAGCCGCTGGAACCCGGCGGCAGAGCCCGAGCGCTCCCG